GCCAACAGCAGCGTCGCTCTACATCTCAGCGTCATAACACTAAATTCCAAGAAAGCACAGCGGCATCAGCCATCATTCAACGTTCAAGATGCGCAGTCCAACACAGAAACAACAAATGCTGATCACATAAAAGGTCGCCCCCTGCCAATTTTTGTGAGTAATTATAAAATTAAAAATCTTGTAAGCCTGCTGAAGCAGGCAAATTTGGTTAAAAATTCATTCTCGCTTAAGCAAACCGAGCAAAATGATTGCACAATATTTACTACAAAAATCGATATTTTCAAAAAAACCGTCAATATTCTAATAGAAAATAAAATAGAATTTTTTACTTTTACTCCGAAAAATGAAAAACCCAAGAATCTCGTTCTTAAAGGTATCGCGGGAGAATTCTCTACCACTGATATCGAAAACGAAATACGTGATTTAAATATTTCGCAAATAAATATTCTAAAAGTGTCAAAAATTGCTTTTAACAGAAACAAAAATACAAAGGAATTTTTTCTAATCCAGTTGTCCAATGACAGTCTCCGGCAATACCTTACTAAAATAAAAACTCTAGCTTACTAGAGAGTTCGTTGGGAGCCTCTCAAAAAGAAGGTGCTTTTCGAATGCACCAATTGCCAGCGCATAGAACACTCCAGTGCTAATTGCGAACTCGAGTTTAGGTGTGTCAAGTGCGGAAAAAATCATGAGCCAGGCAATTGCCTAGTCCCAAAAGATGCTACCGATAAAAACTTACTTTTTTGCGTTAACTGTAAAAACACTGGACACCCAGCCTCATACAGAGGTTGCCCATTTTTTAAATTTGTAAAAAATATAAAGACAAACCAACACACTGCGAACCGAGATGCACAATCTGCGCGATTAAATTAAATTGAACCTTTTCTTCATCGAGTGACTAAAAAATACGGTAGCAACGAAGCTCCACGTTATTTACATAACCCTAATAATTTTCCTGAATTAAACATTACAAAAAATGCATGGAACAATGCTGGAAATCTAGTCAACTCTTATTCATTTAATCCTCAGAACTCAAGTGATCCTATGCGCTCTAGTCAGAGTGTAAATAGTTTTAATATGGAATTCCTTATATCTCACGTAAAACAACAAATTAACAAGTCAATAAATAACAAGCTAAGCCAAATTCAATTATCCATGGACCAGAATTCTCAGCGAATCTAATACCTATATAATAAGCTACAGCTAACCTACAATTACAAAAATGGCGTCTAATAATTTCACAAATCAAGCCACAGATGTTTCGAACGCAACAAATGATATTACTTCGTTAAAAATTCTCGCAATCAATGTAAACTCAATTGTTCCGAACAGTAAAAGATTCGATCTTTTCAACTGTATTAGTAATAATAATTATGATGTAGTGCTTGTCAGTGAAACTAAATTAAATAAAAAACACAAAATCCAGTACGAAAATTACAATATAATAAGAACCGACAGACCGAACAGCATCAAAGGTGGCGGTACCGCCATTTTCATTAAAAAGACCATACCGTTCGAAACGATCACAAACCCGTATTCGTCAAATAACTTGATCCTCGAGTATACCATCCTGAAAATTCCGTTTGGTAATAACTTCAATTTATTCATTATAGCGCTTTATGCTAACAACGAACACAAGAAAATATTTACGAAAGAATTTACAGAGATTTTTAACTCTCTCAAACTGCATCGTAATAATAACTATTATATTATGGCAGGAGATTTAAATGCCCGCAATTCCTACTGGGGTGATCACTCCACCAATCTAAAAGGCTCTCACCTTAGAAAGTGGGAGACCTCAGAGGGATTGCATTTCAGAGCAAAAATTTTTCCACCATCTAATCCCACTTTTCCCAGTTCCAGTTCATACCTTGACTACTTCATTATTGATGGTAGACTCAATATATCCAACATACTAGCAAACAAAATTGTTACCGTAGACTATAATAGTAACCACAGAGGGATCTACATTAACTTAGACTTAGTTCACAATATTGAATCACAAGATCCGGTTACACATTTTCGTTATATGTTTAAAAAAACCAAATGGTCTGTTTCTGAAAAGATTAGAAAAAAATTACAATCTTAATATTCCCCATGATGTTAACCTAACGAGTAGTGAAATTGATTCCCACATTACAAATTTAAACACATTGTTCACTAATACTATTGAATCAACCGATCCTAAATATAAACCAACTGACAATATTCTAAATTACGTTACAGCTAAGATTAAGAAACTACGTAAATTGAAATTATATCTCATCACCACTTTAAACAAGGAATACAAATCGTTCTCTTCGCAAAGAACCACTACCATCACAAATCTTAATCTTATTTACAAAATCAACGCTGCATTAAAAAGCGAATATCAGACTAGCTATAATAAATATTGGGATTCACTCATAAAAAACATCGATCACACTAAATCTCATTTCTTTTTCTCTAAAATTAATCGTTACTTTCGAACCAAAGGACCTCCTTAGGTTGATAATATTTTACTAGAATCTGAAAGGGCCAATCTTCTAGAGCGTTGCAATCTGAGCGCTGATGAAATCCCAAAAATTGATGGAAAATACTTTATCCACTCTCCTCAGGACACCTTAAGTGTTATTGGAGCATATTTTGAGACAATAAATATGCCACAGCAACTTAATATAAATACTCCTCTCTATTCCATCATCAAAAATAAAGTTAACCACATGATTGCTGAGTTCCAACAATGCGAGGCTGACTCCTCCTCCATTACCATTTTTAATGACTCTAACCCAGCTTAAAATCCTGGAATTATAAACAACTCGTTGTTCTTTTATAATACGGCCGAAATAGCTGCCATCCTTCACACCCTGCCAAATAAAACGTCATCAGGGTTAGATAACATTCCGCCAATCGTCCTTAAGCACCTACCACTTAACGCCATTAAGGCATTAATTATTCTATGTAACAATAGCCTTAACAACAGATACTATCCTGAGTTCTGGAAAAAGGCCAAAGTTCTACCTCTCCTTAAAAAAGGTAAACCGCCAGAAAATATTTCGAGCCGACGACCAATCAGTCTAACCCCAGCTATTAGCAAGGTGTTCGAAATAGTTATCAACTTCTCTCTCAAACATTACTCTAATACCTTCAATGTCATACACGATAATCAATTTGGCTTCTGCCACAGCCTTTCTACAACTCATGCAATCCACAAGGTGACCAGTGAAATAAACAAATATCTCCTAGCCGGTGAAACGGTAGGCGCCTGTCTGATTGATCTGGAAAAAGCATTTGACACCGTCTGGATAACCGGCTTGCTCTACATACTACAGAAGCTTAAATTCCCATCTGACTTCATTCATTTGATATGGAACATGACACAAAATAGACAGTTCGTCACATGGAATGACTCTATATCTTCGCAATTATCTTTTTCTATTGAAGAAGGGCTAATGCAAGGTATGGTAAATTCACCTGAATTGTTCAACATCTTCACACACTTTTTTTATTAATGCTTTTGGGTTTTGCTCAATTTTTCCCACAAATGAAATCTGTTAGTGCTGACACTCGACGGATTTGTCTACGTCTACACCTTTTGTAACTGCTTATAACCTAAACATGTAAAACTACTGTTTTGNATCTGTAACATATAAAAAAATTGGCCAAATTCACTGGCCCAATTTGCTTAAAACTGTGATTTAGTCAGTTCTCCCATAAGCGACAGTGTTAAAATGACTTAACTTTGAAATTCAATATCTCGAAAACGAAACAGAGGAACCTCTTTAAATTTTGACTGGTTTATTGTAACAACAATAAAAACGTCTGGTCAAAATTTCAGAAAAATTCGTTGGAAAATTCAATCACTACCGAACGTCCTTAAATGTGCCCTGCTGCTTATGGCTAGGCGAGCAGGGCAAAGAACATTACAGAATAAATATATTTTTTTGACTACAATCTACGATCATATGATATGTTAAATTATCAAACCCCCTCTTGTAAATATGTGACCCCCCTCCTGCGTAGTCTTAAGTTTCTCTCATATACCGATCTGGAGTTTTTTGCTTACTTTTGGCTTTATTTCTACATAATTATTTTATAGTTTCTTTTTAGTATTTTTAGTTGCGCTACCTGTGTTTTCAAAATATGTACTTTTATCAGTCAATAAAATTGTAATTAAAATAAAAGGTTTTAATTTTATTATCCTTGTTCAAATAGTCACAGAGTACACATGCATCTGTGTGCGCTATGACTCAAAGTCGGATACTTCGTACAAAGTGAAGTGAAAAATCGTCAAGTATATGACCGATGGTTATTTTTGTCTTAATTATCTTATAAAATAAATGAAAAATAAAGACTTTGAAAATAACTATTGCGAACAATAATGCACCTCACGCACAAGTTGGTCAATTAAGTAACAATAATATAATGTTCTTAACATCACAGCAATACATGTTGTTACTCTTTTTTATTTAAATAAAAGATGGAATTCTTACAATATTACTACTAACGATAATTAAGATGCAGTGAAATTGCATTTTAAGATATACATAAAGTTTAATTGGCAGACCATTACTAAATCAGAATAGACAGGCTAATGAGCGAGATGGGTGGTGGTACGGCATTAGCAAATTAATAAAAAAACTATTAAGTTTCGGAACTTTAGTATATATTTATACTTTAAATTCTCTTAAAAATAAGACTTATAGAAAAATAAAGCTTTTTAACGAAAAAACCATGAATTTTAGCTCTTTATCCAATAACCTAAACAATGGAAGAAAAAAAATTAATAACTTTGATAAAAATTCCTATGCGTTAAAATAAATGTACCCTAATGAATGCACTACCTACGCTAGTCATCATAGAGACATTGTTGATACTTCAAAAAATAAAAAATAAATTTAATTTGTTTTCCATACAATGAAGAGAGACAAACTTTTTATAATGAAGCGATACGATTTATACGATGAAGCATTTCTAGTTTTTACGAAAAATAAAAATTGTCAAAAATTAAACATAGCAAAAAAAGTCGAAATATTTTTTTTAATTATCAAATTAAATATACAGTTTCAATAATAGTGAGAAAGTTTACAGAGTGTTTAACAAATTTTTTTATAATTCAATCGGTGTCGAAAAGTAATTTTCAATCGTCTTTATAACTTATATGCATTTCGAATCATTAGGTCAAAATAGGCATCGTTATCTATGCTGGCACTGATTGCACTGTAATAGTTTAAGAACTCATCGCGCGTTACCTGAAAACACAAAATCAGTCGTTAAATTAATCGTAAACATGTGTGTACACGTTTAACATTATTGTATTAATTAAAAGTTACATGTCCGTCCTTGGTTGCATCTTGTTCAAAATTCGCAAGAAATTTATTCATGATAGACTCTTCGGATTCTTCACCGCTAATGTACCGAGGGTGATATTTAACGTTGTACACGCCTTTAAGATCTTCGATACTGATTTCACCGTCGCCAGACTTGTCCATTTTTTGAAAAGCCATTTCGACCAGTTTTTTTCTACTATCATTCATCGGAGGCTTCAATGTAAATCATTATCATCAGTCAAATTTGCCGGTACTTACGAATAAAAACATAAATTTTAAAAATGTATAAAAATAACTGTGATCACATACTCTAACGGCGACAATGAACTCCTCAACGTTGACACCACCGCTACTATCGGCATCTAATTTTTCAAACATCGCATCCACCTCATCGTCTGACAGTTCCAATCCACACTCTTCAAGTCCACGTTTTAACTCATCCTTACTTAATTGCTTATTTCCATCTTCGTCCATGCGTCGAAATACTCTGCAATGAAAAAATAAAAAATTCGTAATTTTTCTTAAAAAATAAAATAAAATAACAGAATACAAGCTATTGACCTGAGCTGCACCGAACTCGATTTCTTTCAGCTTTTATGGGTGTGTCACGACGGAGTGAACTATATTTACGTACCTGTGTCTGTATACATCTAAATTACTCACCGCTCAAGGTGGTAAATAATACGTTGATTCGTACGAATCACGAAAAGGTAGCACAAGGACAGGTACAAGTACGCGGTTAAACATAGTAACAAAGGCTGTTACAATTAAGTATAGTTGAATGGTGAACTTGGTATTGCTACAACACCGGTGTATATGTACCATGTATAATGAATGATGTCACGTTAATTACGGAAAACCGCGTCATAGATACACTTATATCTAGAGAAACTTGACACAGACTTTCTTTATCAAGGATTTCAATGAAAAATTCATCATTGCTATATATACGCTAATTACAGAACGACACGAGTAGACTATCTGTTGAATATAATAACTGTCGAGATTTGATAATCGCTTGTAAAAAAGCGAAACTACCATTACTTTACAATTAAAAATGCATTACATTTTAGCAGTTTTAAAAGAAAAGTAGACTATTTTTGTTTATGCTCCGGCCTTCGTTCACAAAAATGGTTCATACTAATAAAAAAAAAGTTACGAGTGTATTATGAGTATGGACCGCAATTCATTGTGATCGTGACTTGGATCGATATGAATATAATAATTAAACGAACTTGAAACAAATGTCCGAAAAAATGTAAATTCCAGTATAAGCTTACAGAGGTGTATATGAGATAAAACGTGTGACTCACCTGCCGAGGCCGACGATGCCTTGGGCACCGCGCGCCAGGCAGAGCAAACGGAGCTTCTCTATAACGTCCGTTGTGTTGATCACGGCTCGCTGAGCCTTATTGATCATCTCAATCTCCTGCCTGGTGGTAGCACTTTGCGGCCTGTTGTTGAACATTGCTGAAACATTTACGCCGTCCGTCTTTCGTATACCACGTGACGGAAGAGACAAGGAGGAGGTGGACAAGAGACTTTTACGTCATGTCTATAAGCTCTACCAGTGCGTTGTATATAATACGTGTGTTAATGTGCATTAAAAAAAGGTGGGTCAAGTGCAAATTCGTCATTTTCGACATTACTGGATGCACCGATGGGGGAGTATGTAAAAATAGTCGATGAGCACTTTAAATTTTTTCAAATAAAATATAGATTTAGCTCATACTCGAGACTAGATCTTATGCATTTCGTTTCGGATATTATCCATCGCTAAAAATATTTTTAGGTTCTTCGCTATACTGATTTCGATATCATAAACACGAAATTTATGTTCGACACGTGCGAGCATGTGAAAAGTTTTTTTTTACGTGACACACGAAAGAGATGGTAACGAAACTGTTGCTGATGAAAGTACCTCACTGTCACGTTTTAATTGATTTAAAAGCATAATTATTGTATTGTTAATCTCAGAGCTAATTGTTCCATATTTGTTTGATACAAATTGTATTAAACGCAGAAAATTTTCGCGTGAAATTCTAGAATACAACTCATATGCGAGACCATGAAAGTTAATTACTGCATGTATGAATGATTTTGATCAGTATCTAATACATCCATATGCTGGAAATTCTAGTGTGCTGAAGAACACGTACAAAGCGTGTAGCTGAAATTTTTAAAAACCGAAAAATGAATGTTTTGTTCGATTTTTTATTTCACTAGTTCTACTGAACTAAATCATTTTTCTCCAAAACCATTGGCGCAAATAGCTGTATGTTCTCCGAAAAATTTGTCACGTGTTGAAATAACACGCGTGAAAATGTGTTGAATATAATATGCATGCGTGTTATGATCGATTTGTTGGTTTACAGAATACTTGCTAACATTATTGTGGCACATTTTTTTAAACGAGCAAAAATATGAATATCGTACTTCGACTTACAGTATACATAAAACATACATGTATAAGTATGTCAGGTCAACTTTTTGTCATATTTTATGATCTCATATGAATCATTAAATTATATTAGTTACAAAAAGTTGTGATTTTGCCTTTGCTCTTCTTTTCAAGTGACAATTATTCATTAACGAATACTTACTATTGGTGATTTTAAAAACAAAACTATCTAAAATGGCTAAAAATCGTGCATCTTTTATTTTTTGTTCAAAATGAATGGTTCGATTTTTCAAACCGAACCCACCTTCCATTTTTGGTCTCGTGTCGTGCGACAGAGTGCGTGTAATTATTCTAATTGATAGGATGAGTTGGCTTGTATGAAAAGGAAAATGAAATCATGTGATGTTTATTACAACTAATTGATTTGTAACATGAGTCGCTTAGATGTGAGTAAATGGCATTATTTTCTTGTCACAAGTTTTACAGTTTTTTTTTTTTTTTTTAATGCCTTAAAATACTCAAAATTTCAACTAAACTAAAATATATTATGAAAAAATTTTTTTGAGTGCTCCATATATACTTTTCCGAATACATGTGGAAAAAAATGAATAACTTTGTGCGAAACAAGTAAGCACTAAGTATGGGATGTACTTGAAACTACAATTCTACGGCGTGAAGACTATACTGTTTGGGCACGTGCTAAAAAAATTAACAAAATACAAACCTCAATTTTTCGGTCGATCGAATGGTTATCAAACCATACACACATAAAACAGAAAAATACAGTGGTGAGTTCACGAATATCGTGGTAAATAAAGTATACATTTCTTATATTTTATATACAGATAAATAATTATCAAACCACTTTATTTACCGATTTTTTTATTTTTTTTATTATAAATAATATCTGTATGCAGGTAGGTAGACAGAAAAATGTATATACATTGGTTGAAAACCCAAAAATATCAGTTCTACATTACCTCTATTATTAAAAGATCGGCTTTATTCTTCTCTATATTATAAGCTCTACTTATAATAGCTTACGTACGGTTGGCTAAATCATCAATAAAAGTATAATTGATTTAATTTATTGTACACATAATTAGGAGTATTATCATATTTGCTCACTTGCACGAAATATAACGATTGCGAAATACTCGATCAAGTTTTTACAATTTTTTCAAATTAAATTATAGATTTTTGTTGCAAAAACGATATTAATACGGGTAAGTTTTAAATTTTTCCCCGATACTCGCTACTTTTTGCAACAGAAAGAAAAATCGATTGCTTATAAAAAATGTAAAGAGCCTTTTCGATCGAATGGAAAAATTAAAAGCCGAAGCACCCAAAACTTACCGGAATTTCCGTCGGAAGTAAATATTGCCCGTACGTGACCAACAGTTGTTCGAAGCGAGAGTAAAATTCGACCCAACGGAAAAGAAGGCAAAAACTTCGTGAAATCGCAAAAAATCTCGCGACAAAGTGCACGGAGTTAATGTTGCTTGCCAGGGCAGCACCGCCGCGACTGAAAAACACACGGATGTGCGTGTGCACGAAAAAAAACCATACCCATATTGAGAGCTGGAAGAGCCCGTTCATTTCCATAACAACCGACATGTCACAACAGTTTAGCGCGCCGATCAGCGCTATCAGTACTGATTGACGACACGACACTAGAACCCTTTTCTGGGCTTTTTTTTCTGGTCATCGCGTTTTCTTCAAAAGTTGTCAACTCTTTCTTTTTTTCATCAATTTTTGCACTTTGTACAAGAAAAATAAATTTTAATTGTGCAATGCAACAAGTAAAGTATACCCGCACAACAATACAATACGCATGTAAATAAGGGGCAGCATTTTTTCGTACATAATTAATTACATTTTACATGAAACGCACCTGTATTTTTTTAAATATTTTTCAATAAAAAGAGTGGGTTGTTATGTTTATACTCGTGCACCCACACATACTGACTTAATTGGTCATCGTAGACTGTACTTTTAAAACTTAGATGATCACATGAAAACGGAATAACTATTTCACTTTAGTGGGTTGTGGTTCATAATTATACAAAAATCGTCAAATGTTTTGAAAAGAACTTATTTTATTTATTTTTTTGTAAAAAAAAAAATCTGAATTTTTGGAATAAAAAATACGATAGCGAAACGAGCGCATACTATTTTAAATGTTGAACAAACATATGTGTAGCCTAACGGCAAAATAAAATATGTAGACCGCACCACATACACGCATTGATTAAAAACAGCTTAATCGATTGACGGCCTATTTAGTTCTTGCTGCTGAATAACTAATATTACACTTTTTCACTTCGGTGCAAGTTAATACATGTATTATACAAAAACTTGTATATGGGGTGAGTAGAGCTATGGCTTTTTTAACAATGGAATTTTAGTGTATAAACCAATACCAAACGATAAAGACACTATTTGAATAATAATTATTTTACGTTACTTAAACGATAAATTAACTTTCTTAATGATAACTAACTTTTTCAAGGCATTTTTATATCTCTCTAAAAAAATATATAATATATACTTGAGCACTGAATTCTTCTGATCAATAGCACTTTGTATGTATATTCGATATATTATCAACTGAATAAAAAAACAAATTTTTTATTTTCCATCTCTTAGAAACAATATGGTAAGATTAAACTACGAGTCTCTATTTGTTGGATGTACTTTTGTTAAGATCGAAATAATACTTGAATCGCTTACTACTTGTAGAAAAATCACCAAACTCTTTCATCATAGCTAAATAAAGTAGTATCACCCATTTTAATATCTTATTTTTTATAGCTATCTTCTAAGTTAGATCTAAAAATATTCGAAAACTTAAAATCGCTCTATCTCCATAAATAACGCAGATATCGCGAAAAGAACGACATTCCGTGATCATGAAAATAGAATATAAAATTATTAACTAATCATTCCTAAATCTCCAATGTCCTACAGATTAGCTTATTATACCACACAAAGCCCGAAAAAAGTAGTAGCTACATGCTCAAAATTTCGACTTCTTTCAAATTTCATATGTGCGCGCGCTACTTACCTACTGCAGCCATACATATAACTATATTTACCGCTTACCTAGCATAACATTACAACAACAACAACAACAATCAGCTGGAATATGTGCGGTGATCGATTAAAAAAATAATTTTTTTCATTTAATGCAAAGAATATTATTTGTAGGCAATGAATAGTGTCATGAATAAATTATTACAGAGTGCAGTTCGTTGCTCGAGATTAAATTGTCAGAAGAAAAAATTTCTGTTTACATCTTCGATAGATAGATCGGAACAGCATGCATCAGCTCAATTTGATCCGAGTAAAATTAAATCGCATTTGTGCAACGACTTGCGGTTAAAAATTAAAATGTCCGGCCCAATTAGCGTCGCCGAGTACATGAAGCAGGTCCTCACGCATCCTACAAAAGGTTATTACATAAGTAAGGATGTTTTTGGCTCTGACGGCGACTTCACAACTTCGCCCGAAATAAGTCAATTATTTGGAGAAATGATCGGAGTTTGGATTATTTATGAGTGCCACAAATTCCACAGAGAACCGTTTCAAATTGTGGAGTTGGGGCCTGGACGTGGCACCTTGTCAAGAGACATCCTCAGAGTAGTCAAGCAACTCAAGAAAAGTCATCTAGTATCTCTGCATTTGGTGGAAGTCAGTCCAGTATTAGCAGAAATTCAACGAAAAACTCTCTGCCCATCGGAAAGTACAGATGATGTCAATGATTCTGGAAAGTATTACAAAAGAGGAAAAACACCGGATAATGTGGAAGTATTTTGGTATAAGTCAATTCTTGACATCCCAGAAGGTTTTAGTGTTTTTGTTGCTCAAGAATTTTTCGATGCATTACCGATTCATAAATTTCAAAAAACTAAAGATGGATGGTTTGAACTTTTAGTAGACATAGATCCAGCAAGGGCATCCGAAGAAAAATTCAGATTTGTATTGTCCAATACAAGTGCCTGCGATGCACTAATAGACAAAGACGAAAAGAGAGAACATGTTGAGATTAGCTTAGAAGCAATGAATGTCATAAGATACATTTCAACAGCTATAACTCAGAATGGGGGATTTTCATTAATTATTGATTATGGTCATAGTGGTGATAGAACAGACACATTCAGAGCCTTCCGACAACATCAACAGTGTGACCCCTTGTCAGAACCAGGCACAGCAGATTTGACAGCTGATGTAGATTTTTCCTTGCTGCAAAAAGTAGCACAGCAATCACATGATTTATTATGCTTTGGCCCAGTAACTCAAAGAGATTTTTTAATAGAGCTAGGTATAAATATGCGTTTGGCAAAACTCTGTCAAACTGCCTCCAAGAAAGAAATGAAACAGTTGGAGCTAGGATACAAAAAAATTATTGGAGAGGACGAAATGGGCAACTGTTTCAAAGTTGTTTCCATGTTTCCTCGTGTGTTAGAGGAGTTCTTGCAAAAATCGCCGGTTTCTGGTTTCAAGACTCATGGGTTGGAAGAGTCAAAACAATGATTTATCAAAGTGACATGTGTGATATTTTTTCGATGTTATGTGTAAAATATGTAAATAGGCAATAAAAATTTTGTTTCAACGATTGTCCTGAGTATTAAAATTTTCGCGCTTTCTGATTTTTTATCATAAGAATACAATGCTTGTATTTGGACCAAAAAAAGATATAAAAATATGCTTTTGCTCATTTTTTAAGTACTTAAGGTGCGTACATACATACATACAAATAACTACTAAGTTAGTTTATTAGGGTATTCGTTTGGATGAAGGTTCTATATAAACGCACCTTGAGTAGTCAGAGCGATCCAAACCAAACTAATAAATTTACATAAATATACAAATTTTTTTATAAGCGTACTAGGATGTAAATAAGGGGCA